GCATCATTTGTAGGGATATGCTAGTTACTAACGAATTTTGCAACTTCCTTAAAGCAGACCTTACAGATATACCTTTACCTGTAAACATTTAATTAGCAGGTCATTTGAATTTTTTTCTTTTTCCTGCCTTTCAATTTTATTGATATAGAGAACTCCTGGACAAGGCAATCCCTTCTCCCAATGCAGATATACATCTGCTCTGCTGTAGTAATGCAATTGTAGTATTGAAGTGACTTGTCAGGCTTCCTGAGGTAACCAGTATGTGTCAGGGGGCATTTGAATTCACTTCTTAAGCTCCAAAACAGCTCTCTATCCACTATACTATGTAGATGGAATTAAACTAATAATGTAATTTTAAAATTAAATTAAATACTTAAAAAAACCTATGTAATTCAGAAATTCTTTCCCACCTACTCTGAATTAGGGAAGAGGTTTTCTTGTTTGTTTTATTTTTTAGTGTGCCACACATTTAAGGCTGATTACCTCAGTTAGTTGGAAAATTACGGTCAAAAGGCCAGTGCCATGTGTTACGGGTTCAGGTTTACTCTATACATGAACCAGTTTTGTACTGGAGCCATTGACTGAATCCTTAGCTTCATGTATTTGGAGATCATAAACATCTGCCATTGCTGGGGGTGGGTGTGGATTGAAGAGGGAGAAGCTTGCAGTGTCATAGAAAATAGAGAACATGGGTGGATCAGTATAAATTCATCACTGTTACTAGAAAAAAAAAGTATGAATGCATATCTTATTAAAAGCTGGAGGGTGGGGTAAGTAGCACCAACTATGAGCAGAAAGTACAGTGTATTTTCATTCCCATTATACGAATGACCACTGCAGCAAAAAATCTGAATAACAAAAATATTTCAAAACTCCCAAAGGATGATCCACTTACTTTAAACAGTGCTAGATACATAAAAATTCTACTACAACAACAGAATCTGTATTATCCTTTGGTGCTTAAATCATGGAAATTTTAGGTCAGAAGGAACTTTAGAGATCATTGAATCCAGCTCCTTCAGTTATAGATTAGAAAATTAAGGCTCAAAGAGGTTAGATAATTTATTTATGGTCACAAATTAGCTTGTGGAAAACCCAGGGCTAGAACTCAGATCTCTTGTCTAGTGTTCCTTTCTATGTCACACTCTATCACTGAACTCATCAAAGGGGGATTTTTGATGTGTATTTTTAATGATATTAGCTATATGTTTCACAATAATATTATTACTTGATAGTAATTAACAGACCAAGATCTTACTATATACCCTCATTTATATAGGCTAGGGAACTGGTTTCCTGAAACAACTTTAATCTTTCTTATTGACAAAGTATATCAATATGGTAATTAACATTAAGGCATGTTAACTATGATTTCTGGTATTTTCATAATAATAATAATAAAAATAAAATAATAGCCGTATATCCTTAAATGATATTCAATTATTTTTTGTTGTTCAATCGTTCCAATCATGTCTGATTCTTTGTGACCCCATTTAGAGTTTTCTTGGCAAAGATATTAGAGTGGTTTGCCATTTCCTTCTCCAGCTCATTTTACAGATGAGGAAACTGAGGCAATCAGGGTTAAGTGACTTGCTCAGTCACACAGCTAGTGTCTGAGGCCAGAATTGAACTCAGGAAGATAAGTCTTCCCGGCTTCCAGACCTGGCACTCTATCTACTGTGCCACCTGGCCATCCCATATTCAATTTAGCTTTATAAAAACAGGGATAAGACATGGATATTCCTGTTGTCAGAAAGATAAATGGATAGTAGAAGAAACTAAGTGACTTTACTTAAGTTAAATAAGTAGTAAGTTTTAAGGAAAGCCAGGGCTAAGGTGGGCTCGAGGGCAGGGGTGGTGGGTAGAGATAACTCTAGGTCCAATTCACTGAATTCCTTTGGAAATTCATCCAGCCTGCCAGCCCGCCATCCTCCATGGGAAGGCAGGCACACCAGCTTTTAGGAACACAATACAAAAGACAATAGCCTCTTTTACTTAGGCATTCTGCCTGCTAATAATTTAAGAAATGATGCGTATTCCTAGAAAGGGGAAAGGAGAACATGAGGCAATTAGTTTTCTTCTTAATGATGTCGTTCTACCCACTGGTCCTTAGTTGGTGAATGGAGCTGCAGAAGATTTAGTCTATTCCACTTGTGAATATCTTAACCAGCCCAGAAGTGCAGTAAATGAGCTGGTTGGCAGCAAGAAGGCTTCTATATAACTGGAATGACAAAAAGCTAAGCCCTATGTATAGACATGGAATATAATATATTTGGGACCTTAAGCCATTATTTTTCACAGGCTATTTTACATGGCAAAAAAAATCACTGGAGGAAGGAAGGGAGTTGGCATGGAGAATCACTGCTGCTTGACAGTTTTGCCCCAAATTAAGTAAATCAAAGAAACACTAAGCATTTGAGTACTCAAATAATGCACAGTAGACTCTGAAGTTAGGTTTACAAAGGAACTTTATAACATGTCCATTATAAGAAGAATCCTATGATACCATGGTTCCCAACAGGTACATGAAGCTGGTCAAGGGAACACAGGGAATATTTGGAACATACCTCTATTATCTAACAAAATATTCCAAAAATAGCAGTGTTAGTGGAAAAACTTTTTGTATTGGAGAGGGGGCAGAGTAGGAATGGGAGGAAGCATTAGAGTAGATATAAAAAAAATTTGAAATAAGCAGTTAAAGAAATAATTTCTATAAATCAAAATTAAATGAAAGAGATTTGAATATAAAATCTTTTCTAAAGTTGAATCAGAAAAAATCAGCAACAACCTAGGGACAGATCTCCATAATAACCTGAAACACCAAATTGATCTCCATCCAGTGAAGTTATAAAATTGTTGATGTACCCTTGGAGAAGCATATCCTATTCTTACTAAGTATGCTTACAAGGCTTTAATTAATCTCTATGAATTAGAATTCTCAGCCCTGTTCTCAACTAAATCTAAAGGAAGAAATAAATAAGGCTGATCATGATATGCGGGTATTGTCTTCAAAAACTATACTGAGAATAAAGCTGTTGGTTGATAAGAAACAATCAGAGTCTCAGTTTATATGACTGTGTTCTGGTAAATATTTAACAACTTTATGATATTAAAAACATGTGCCAAATAAAGTTTTCTTTATAAAAAATCAATCTCTTTAGTTTATTTCTTATTTGCATACTCATGGTAAATGGTAGGCTTTTTTTCCTTTCATGTTGACTGGGGGTATAGGAAGGTTTCCTGTAAGCCAAGAGGTATGGGAACTGAAAAAGGTTGAGAATCTCTGCAATGGTATTAGGTAGGTTTTTAACCCTTTCTATTACTTTTCTACTGACATTTCTGAATATAAATTGTTTATCATTTTTGCTGTTCAAAGGCCAACTAGCTACCATTTGACAAATGGTTCGGTTGTAAGGTTGTCCTTCATTCTCAAAGAGGACCAAAATGACATCACACGTTAGAGTCAAGTCACAGTTTGTCTGACTGTGGCTGATCAGACCAATACAAGCTCAGAATGTTTTACCACAGGTTGGGAAATACAGTAAAACTGTATTAACCAGACCCTATTAATTTAGAATTTGTGTTAATTTCCTCAGGAATTGATCTGGAATTTATCTTTGAAGAAATGTTTGTTAAATTAATAATATGTTAATAATGTACAATTCTAAAATATATATATATATATATAAAATAATGAAAAATTAATAACGTAAAAAGTTCATAAGGGAAAGTTTATTTTAGGTATGAAACTTTTCACATTCCCTCAGTTTCTTTAGACGCACCCACTTCTCTATAAATGAGCAATGTTTTAATTATGGTTCCTATATTCATTAAAGTAGAATTCCCAAAGGCTGCTACTGGTCAGTCCTTTGTTAGCTTAATTCTAGACATCTCATATAATTTGAAAGTAATAAAACTACATTTCTATAAAAGTTATTCTATAACAGATTACTCACTATGCCCCTCCAGATAGAGAAGTAATAGACTCAGTGCAGACTGAGATGTTCCTTTGGACAGAGCTAATGTGGGAATTTGTTTTGCGCGCGTGTGTGTGTGTGTGTGTGTGTGTGTGTACATATTATATATGTGTATATATTTGTGACAAGAGCTTGTTTTTCTTGCTTTCTTAATGGGGGCAAGGTGGTAAGTGGGAGAGAGAGGAGGACCTTCATTTGAAAAATACATATATATAATTTAGTTTTTAGAAAACATAAAAGTTATATAGTTATTTTGCTAATTTTGGCTGGCTGGCCTTTCCTCAAAGAGATCACATGTAAGAAGTACTGACTAAGGCATTTAATTACATAGTATCTATTTGTCTTTACTCTCTGTATATTTATTTTGTGTGTCCATATATGCATATACATAATATATATATATATATATATATATATATATATATATATATATATATATATATGTTCTTACTATCTCCCCATTTAGAATGTAGGCTCCTTGTGAGTAGGCATTGTTTCATTCATTGTATTTATATTCCCAGTGTTTAGCACAGTGCCTGACACATACTAGGTGTTTAATAAATAATTATTGATTGACTGATTTGCTTAAGGAGCTTCCATCAGTTGAAGTGAAAAGGCAAGATTAGTTACATCTGGAAGCCAAAAGAAAATTGTCATTGGTTGTCTGGAACACTAGTGAGCTATAGAAACACCTGCAGCTAAAAGAACCCATTACTGAAACATCAGGCTTCCTTCATCATAAGCTTCAGGAACTAGACCAGCAAATGTCACAAATTTAGATTTGAGAAAAGTGTTACATCTGCCCAGTAATATTTTCTATGAGTACACTAGTCTATACTGTCTGTGTCCTCAGCTGGATTTGCCTGTTTCTTCTACATGCTATCATTCCGACGGGCAAAACTGAGAAGAATTTGCAGGTTATCTGCCAGTCAAAAGAACAAGGAGATTAAAAAAAAAGGAGATTAAAAAACAAACAAAATAGATGTGCAAATGCTTATTAGCATTATTTTGATCACTACTTACTGTCTTCAGGCAAGTTATTTTCCCGTTCTTCTCTCTCCATCTGCTGGCACCAACCTTCCATCCGGTCTCTCTCAGCCTGAAGAAGCTTCAGAAACCAGTGACCATCTCGGTGACACACTGACCTCTGAACAGCCTCCAGGGGATCTTCAGTGATAGAGTCAATCCATGGATCCGGTGGAGGCAAAATGGAAGGATCAAAATCTGTGTCAAAGTCATCGTCTGCAGCACAGGCATGGTAGTGGTTTCCTGAACCCTGAATGCTCACTGTGGAGGTGCTGGCATCCCGGGAAAACTGCCTGGACATTGGTCCCGGGCAGGTATTGTCCTCTATAGATTCCAGAGAGTTTTCCAAGTTCTCATGGAAGTCCAGGTCAGCCTGTACTGCTGCTGTCACGCTGTTAGACCGAGTGAACCTTCGGAAGCTTAGGAAAATAGAGAAAGAATGTTTAGTCAAGGGGTAGTTCCAGAAGCTAAATTTTATTCTAGCTCTCAATAGGAGAACTTATCCCAACTGTGTGACCGAGAATACAAGTGTTCTTGTTTTCAATTGGTATGGTAAGTAGCCCCTTCTTCCACAAGCACATCTTGGTGAGGCATTCTGGTACTACGGAACAGGCACTGGTTTTGGAGGCCGAGAACTTGGGCTTGACTCTTGGCCATGCCACTTATACTGACTTTATGACCTTAACCTTAAGGTGACCTTGAACAAGTTATTTTACATCTCTGGACCTCACTTTACTCCTCTGTAAGATAAAGACATTGAACATCAACATGGCAAAGATGATGAAAAAAGGGGGAAATGACAGGTATTGGAGGGTCTGTGGGAAAATAGGCACATCAATGCAGTGTTGACAGATCTGTGAATCAGTACAGCCATTCAGAAAAGTGATTTGAAATGATGCCCAAAAAAATCATTAAACTGTGCATACCACTTGACCTAGCAATACCACTACTACATGAATTGTAAACTTGGCTCCATCACTCAGTAGGGAATTTTTGGGCTAATCCCTTAATCTCTCTCAGCCTCAGTTTCTTAAAGAAGTCAAAGAAAGAAGGGGCAACTAGGTGGCGCAGGGGATAGAGCACCGGCCCTGGATTCAGGAGGACCTGAGTTCAAATCTGGCCTCACACACATAATATTTACTAGCTCTGTGACCCTGGGCAAGTCACTTAACCCCATTGCCAAAACAAAAAACAAAAACAAGAAGTCAAAGAAAGAAGAAAAGGACTCATGTTCAAAAATATTTATAGTAGTTTTGTAATGAGAAAGAACTGGAAACTAAAAAGGCAGGGGCTGTTTATTAATTGAGAAGTGGCCAAACAAATCATAGCACATGAATATCATGGAAAATTATCGTGCAATAAGACTGATGAAAAGAATGGATTAAGAGAAACCTAGGAAGGTATGTATAAATGGATTCTATGTGAAGGGAGCAGAACCAGAATAATTTCTATAGAAATGTCATAAAGACAAAAAATGTTGAAAGTCTTAAGAATGCTAATCAATGCAAAGACCAAACATGATTTCAGAGGATCAGTGGTGAAATATGTTACCTAGAAGCACTGGTTTCATGATACACAATAAGACATATGTTTTTGGACATGGACAGCAAAGAAATTTGTTTTGACTATGAATATTTGTTAAGAGATTATCTTTTTACCAAAAAAAGAGAAAGATTATCTTTTTACCAATGGGTAGGGGGTATGAGAGGAAAAGAAAACAAATACTTATTAACTGAAAAATAAAATTAAATGAAATTTAAAAAATAAAAGAGTTGGACTAGATGACCTTTAAGTTTCTTTCCAACAATAGATCTATGACATGATACTATGCTATTTGGAATTGCTTGGGCCAATTTACTTTTAATGACATTCTGTACTTGTAGAATGATTTACACATGCAAATTACTTTCACATCCATTGTTTCAGCTGATCTTTACAGTAACTGACTGTGTAGACAAGCCATACATTATTTCCTTGTACTTTACAAGTAGAGAAACTGAGCCTGAGAGAGACTAAGGCATTAGCCCACAAATACTCTACTGAATGATGGAGCCAAGTTCACAATTTGTGTCTTCTAGGGCCTACTCAAGTCCCTTCCTACCATATACTACAATCCTTCTATTTTTAGGGGCAAATGTCTTAACTTCCTTAACACTCTCATGACCCACCTATTGGGACACTGACCTGGGATCTAGAGAAGAAGGAATGACATGTTGCTGATTCTGATACAGGGATGTTTTGGAAATGGCTATAAGGACTCTGGGTAATTGCTCCAATCCAGCAAACAATCCTGCTCCACTCCAGATTGTTTTGAACCAGAGAATACAGGATTATAAGGATCAAAGGAAGCTTTGTACGGTGCCTTAATAATAACAACTCACATTTATCAAGTGTTTTCCTCACCGTGTTGTTTAGATAATTCAATTATTCTTATTCCTATTTCATAGGTCTGGAAACTGAGGAGTCCAAGAGAGGTTAAATTGTTTGCCTAAGGCTACAAAGCTAGTTTTGAAGCGCTTGAGACTCAAACCCCAGATCATCTGACTCCAAATCAAGTGGTTTTTCTATCGTACTGTGCTGTCTGAAGCTAATATAATTTTCTAGGGGCTAAAAAAAATGGGTCAGGCCATACTGAGCTCTGTATAACAGACCATTTTGTCAGACTTTCCACTACATGGGCTCGGTCATACCCAGGAGGTCTACTCCTGTCCCTATAACTGGCTTTATTTAGGAGTACCATGAATTTTAAGGCTTTACTATTCTCTACCTTTCCTTCTTCCTTTCAACTAAAATGACAGGCAACTTATTGTAGACATAATTAGAATACTTTACATCAACTGAATTGTGTCTTTTGGGCAAAGATCAAAAGCTAGACTAGCTCTATTTCCAAGTAGGATTCTGTATAAGGACTACACAGTCTCTACTTCATCCAAGGCACACACTGCCTCACGAAGTATCCTATTTCTGGAAGGTCTGGTGATTGAACTAACTTGAGAATCCCCAAATTTGGGATTACCCATCAGGCAACTCCCAGAGTTTCAAGTCCTCTCTTGGGCTGAGTGGGTACACTCATGTCAGCTTCCATCTTGTGCTTCTGCAAGAAATTTTTCAGTGCTCAAGTTGTAACCATTTGCTAAACTGAAAAAGCCCACTCTCAGTATCTCTGTTCTCAGGCTGTGTACTTTTGTTCTAAGTCACCATAAACCGACTGGGATGAGGAAAAAATAAATACCTTCCCCTACTTGCTACACTCCAGAAGTCACAAGAGAGAAAAATACAGAGGAAGTCCTCTTGAGTGAGACCAATCATCTTGCTTTTATAGACCATAGGGAGGGGTTACTGATTCTCAGTCAGCTTAACTTAAAATGTTGTTATTCAGTTGTTCTTCAGTTGTTTCCAACTCTTTATGACTCCATTTAGAGTTTTCTTGGCAAAAATACTAGAATAGTTTGCCATTTCCTTCTCCAGCTCGTTTTACAGACGAAAAAGCTGAGGCAAACAGGGTTAAGTGACTTGCCCAGAGTCACACAGCTAGTACCTGAGGTTGGAATTTGAATTCAGGCCTCCCTGACTCCAGGCCCAGCTCCCTATTCACTGTGCAACCTAGCTGCCCTTAATATGTCAGCCCTAATTTCTGTAGCCAAATCCATATGACCCTAGTATCACATTCCATAAAGAGATGCCAATCAATATTTATTAAGTACCTACTACATGCCAGGCACTGTGCTAAGCACTGGATGCCATCCAATTGCTTTCAAACAAAAGGTCACTCTCTGTGAATTTAACAAGTTCATCAGGGAAATCAAGTTGATCAGGGACTCCTCTGATCAATACCCCTTACATAATTATTTGCCCCAAAGAGAAATGTGGCATAATAAAAAGGGTACTGGACTTGAGGTTAAAATACTTGGGTTCCAATTCCAGCTCTGCCCAATTAAACAATTTGGGTTAAATTACTTCCCCTTCCTTTGGGCCCCCATCTTTCATCTGTGAAATGATAAGGTATCTTACCCATTACTTATTTTGTCTGGGCTTTCTGCCCTAAAGGAGCTGACTAAGCAGCTTGGCATTGATGATTTAAAGTACATAGGCAGGGGTAGCTACAAGGTGCAGGAGTCAGGAAGACCTGAGTTCAATTCTGGTCTCAGACACTTACCAGCTAGCTGTGTGAGCCCGGGCAAATCACTTAACCCTGATTGCCTAAAAAAAAAAAAAGGTACATGTGTATCCCTCAAACACAAAGACCTAGAATGAGGATAAACTAAGTGCGTTGAGGCTTGCTTTTTGGTAAATCCTATATGAACTGATACTGAGAAAGAAATGTAACTCTTTGGACCTCACAGTGTTTATTTCCATACAAGCTGTTAAAAAATTGGGTGTGGTGTGTCCTTTTGGGAGGAGACCTGGAGAGCTGCACCTGTCAATGTATATTCTTGCTGAGTGCATTTTATATAGCAGTGTTTGGGTTTTTTTAATTAGATGCCTTATTGATTGAATCTGTCCAGATCCTAAACTTGCATTTGGGGGCCAGTGTGCACTGGACCTCAGCCAGAAGGGTTTAACTAGATTATATCCAAGGCCCCTTTCAATTCTAAGACTCTCTGATTATTTGATTCTAGTTACCACATTTTACCACATAATTGTTGTCGCAGATTTTATGTGAATCTTTGCAAAAAGTGGGGTGCAACCATTATGTGAAGCTTTAAAAATTGCATCAGTATTACTTAAAGATCACTTATTACTAAATTGTCTTTGGTGCAAGATTAGGATGCATAGCATATTCATGAATATACTTTAAAAAGGAATACTGACAATGTGCGTACAATGGGAATTCTAGGCTCACAGCCTCACAATGCACAAGAGATAAATGCATATCCATATGGCACTGGTGAATACATTGCTGCTCTGTTTACCTTTTAAGCAACATGACCATTACAAGGTTATAAACCTTTTTTTTTTTGCACTAAATTTTGCACTAAAAAACCAGGGCTCGATGATTATGCAGTGGTTACAATTATGCAATGAAATACGGTATAATAATTATGTCATCATGACTATGATGCAAGTAGAAGGGCTTAATGAAGGAAATATCTTTAAGAATAGAAGCATAGCTAAAAGCACAATTAATCAACTTGCTAACTGTTCTTCCTTATTATAGCCATTAGCCTGCATCATGTTACACCCCATCTCAGGGCAAGCTGAATGATACACTGATTGGGTAGTATAAAAAACACTAGATTGGGTCAATAAGTCTGTGCTCTAGGACTGGACCTGTCAGTAATTACTTCTGTGACCAAGGAGAATATCTTTTCCTTTTCTACAAAATGAAAAGTGTGGACCAGAAGATCTATAAGAGTCCTTTCTTTCAGCTCTAAAAGTTGATGATTCTAATTAGGATCAAATATCAAAGGAATCTTAG